ATACCCTCGCGAGGGTATGTATGTATATACAAAAGCACGCTCACCTGCTTAAGAACATCTTACATAGTTGACTTTTATGCACTCCCCACGCTCTCTCTCTCTCTCTCTCTTTCGCGCGCTCTTATGAGCGCGCCAATTCGTGTTGATGAAAAAGCTCAGCTGCAAAAATTATGCGACGCATTCTTTTTGAGATTAATTATTGATTATTAGTAACGCCACGAAGATCGATTATTAACAAACACACACAAAACGAACCGAACTCTTTAACGGAACACAATTTAGTCAATATAAACTAATTAAAAGAGGATTTTGACGATTTTCAAGGCACGCGCAGCGCACACGAACACGAACGATCGACGGGGCAGACGCGCACAGACTAAATCGGCTCATTAGGCTCGCGCCTATGCTCAGCCGGCATTCGCACTAATACAATTACAAGTGCGAGCGCACAGCTTACCGCAGCTCCTGCACTACACACTATCCGCATGGCGTGCTTCGAAGATAACGGCATCAAAAGCGTTGCGACCAATGGCATGAGCGCAGTGGATATACCGAATTACGCCCCCTACCCCCCCCCCCCCCCCCTCTGATCATCGCATTCATGATGCTTATTTAAACGGCATCAAATTTATCAGCGCACTTGAGAGAGCAAAGTGGAAATGCAAAAATATGAAATGGTGACGTCATAACGCAAGGGAAGAGGAGTTTCTTATGCTCTGTGACGTCACGATTGCGTATTTTGGAGAAATTCTTAATGATATAACTCTAAAGGCAGACGAACTAGCTAAATAAATTAAATTTCATTAAATTTGGGAATAAAAAAACTAAGAATTCATTTAATTTATGGTTAGCATTAAAATACCTAGCATATCTTTAATTTATAGTTAAAATTGCCAAATATGGCAAACAGACGAATATATTCCCAGTATTATGAAGATTGCTTTGAAGCAGTATTAGTTGTCATGGTCAGGTGGATATATAGAACATGGCTAAAACGACTCAGCTGATGGGTTATAATACATTTTAATGCAAAATCGTACACAGAAGAGACATTAATCAATACTCACAACCTTGTTCGCATAAATTACTCGAAATGCAATTCTTCACAATGCATGAAAAACCGCCTTACCAAGTCATGACCTACAGCACTCAAAGAGGCAGCAAAAGACAAAGCCAAAGGAAATGAAAAGAAACAAAAGCCAGAATAGGCAAAAACTGTAACTGTGTAGAGGAGAGGCGAGAGGGAGAGGGAGGGAGAGAGAAGAAGGGAAATGAGCTTGAATTAGAAATGGACTTACAGGCTTTAAAGGGAACTGTGAAGGAGGGGGGGCGGGGGGGGGGGGGGGGGCAGCTCCTATTGGCAGTTGGCAATGGCATATTGACTGGAGTTTTCCAACGTCAAAGTCGATGGCAGCCTGATTAATTAAAAGTGGTTCGAAAAGTGTGTGAAAGTGTGTGAGTGTGTGAATGTATGTGTGTGTGTTTGTGTGTGAGTGTGTGTGTGTAGAGGAAAAAATGCATAGAAGCAGGAAATGCATTCAAAGCGGCTGCAGGCGATGCCGGAAATGTCCTTTAAGCCAAATGCAATATGTGTGCCAATGGGCCTGGCCTAAAAGGCATTCCCCCCAGGCCTCCCCTGCCCAGCAGCTGCTCGAGCTCGTAATTTGCCTAGAGCTGGGCCAAAAGCAAACGCTTTGACCCAAAGCATGCTCCCGCTCTCTCTCAAGGACTACAAAAGCCAGGCAGAAGCCAGGTAATTGCCAAAAGGCGACGCCACCTGCCAGTTACATTGTTTGGACGCGCAAAATCGACAAAGACCTGGCCAGAAAACACACACAGCTGTGCGAAAACTCATTTCGCCAGACGTCGAGGCCAGCCCATTAAATGGCCAATTAAAAGCCAAATGAGCCAGAGATTTCAACAACAACAACAACAATAATAACAACACGGCCAGAGAACTGAGAAAATATACCAGATGGTATTACGATGGATGCATTGGAAACGATTTGCAAAACAAACACTAAAATGTAAATGATATTTTTGAAAGCCCAATTAAAGCGTGTTTGAGAGTGTCCGACTGCGTGATACCCTGCAGAGAAGCCCTTCTCTTAGACCCAGACCTAATATGTGCAATATGTTCTTGATTAACTCAGGTCTTTAAAGGACGATCTTTCTGAAATTTTCGATGACTTAATTTGACATATAAAAATGTGTATATACCAAGGCGCAAGGCTCCAGCTTTACGTACGAGATTTTGCCATGACTTACAGGGTATGTGGGGAGCTATCAAGAAAGTGAAATGTTCTTCAGCTGTATATAACATACGAAAGCCTACCCACCAAATTTGTTGTGTCTAGCTCTAAAAGTCTTCGAGTAATGCTTAAAAAACATTGTCTGAAAATCGATATTTATCGATTAATCGAAGATATCGAAATATTCTTGATCTGCATAAACCATCCAAGAGCCTATCTACCAAATTTGGTGCATTTAGCTCTTAAAAACTTCGAGTAATGGCTAAAAAACATTGTCTGCAAATCGATATTTATCGATATTATGTTAATCGAAAAGGATATAGAAAGGAATTATAAACTGCCCGCATATAATTAACCGATAAGTGACTGTAAAACTGTAACTCCAATAATCGAAAAAGATATCGAAAGGAATTATAAATTTCCCTTACACACTTAATGGACAAGTGACTGTCAAACCGTTACTCCAATGACATTTCAACTGTAATTAACTTTAATCCAGACTCTTTCGCTTCATCTGAATATCTTTGAAAAGTGACACTTATACTAATACAATAGCCACGCCCACATCCGCCCACAAGTGCACTTGTGTAAATTAATATCTCATTAGGCAATAATTAAGCATAATTGAAAATGGAAAAGCAAACGTCCAATGGGAGCAGAAACTAAAGTTTGTTGACTCGGAACAGGTTCCGAATATTGTTGTTGTTGTTGTTGGGAGGGGACAAGGCAACAAAGGGGACAAAGGGACAGTGGACCGACATTTACTAGAGCCACTTTTATCAGTTGTCGCATGAATTGCCTGCCTTTCGCCCGGCTGCCCGGCTGCCCGCCTGGCTGGTTTAGCTTGTGTCTGGCCTATAGGGCCTGGTAAATCAATGCAATTAGTGTCACATCCTCTGCATTTAATGTCTATGTTTTGTAATCGACTCTGGCGCCATTGGCATGTGGACTGCTCACTGGAACCAGTTCCTGGAATGGCCCTTAATCGCGCTGAAATATTGGGTGCAAGGCATCTATATCGAAGGGAAGTCTGCTTGGGGATCTGGAACCAGAAAATTGAAGCTCGGCTTGGGAAATATTACTTGTAATGGACAATAAGAATTTAATTTTTGCTTACTTCTCTGTTCTTGGAAAATCGATGTAAAGAGACAATCTTATAACAGAGGCTTAATGTAGGGTATCCGAATTTTAATAAGCTCTGCAAAATTCGTTTCCGAAATTTACCACAGTTGCTACCCGATGCACACACCCCACACATTATTCACTGTGTTCACCTCAGACTCCTATTAAACTCCTACCGATTAGTGCAGTTTCACATGAATAGCAAAACCGGCATGGTAAATATTGCTGCTATATTTTCAACTCGAATACATATTTACTGTGGTAGCCACCAAATAGTGAAGTTTTACACCAATCAATCTCAAGGTGAATACTGCTGCTACCTTTTCAACATGAACACACTTTTACAGTGGTAACTACTGATTAGTGCAGTTTCACACCAACATCAACACCATCGTAACAAACACTGCTGCCATGTCGTTATCTTCGTAAATTGAATACTCTGACAGACATCAAACAGTTGTCTGAGTGCCTATAACCGAATGATATCTGAATTAAGAATACACTCCGCAAGGTCGAATTAAATCTAAGCACTGTTCTTATCTGACACACACACCATACTGAATAATTCACAGTCTTCACCACAGACACATTAAGCGTGCTCGCAGCGCAGCTTCAAGCCACTAGCAAAGTTTATACACCATGATGGTGATTATTGCTGCTAAATCAACTCGCCGCTGGACTGTTAGCCAAGTTCCAAACTAGTGTAGGTGCTTGCCATTGCTAAGTCTGCTTAGCGAGGCTCAAAACCAATATGCGTATGGCAATTGAGGTTAGAGCTGAAGAATTGGAGTTTTTATACCCTGTAAAAACTGTTAAAACGGGTATGATAGAGCTCTGTAGGTATAGTGAATATGAAATATTATATAAAATCATAATGTAATAAAGAATAAACTGAGATATGAAAAAACAGATCAAGCTTTCTATAAACGAAAATTCAATTTGATTCATAATTTGAGATTAATAGTTAGTTTGTTATAAAAATAAGTGATAATTGAGAGAAGCAAATATCCAAATTAAAAATCTCACTTAAATTTGAACCAGCGACCTGTCGCTTATAAATCAGAAGCTAACCCAGGCCAAAGCCAATTAGAAAAACCTTTGTAGCTCAGAAGTTTTCTAATTTGCGAGCGACATTTATTCGCCAAACACTATTTCAACGATTTTATTTGAATTGCAAGTATTTAAGATTTTTTTTGGGTCTGAGCTACCCCACGTTTGGTACGTGCCCCGCACACAGACAATGTGCTCACATGTCGTATGCGCAATTTCGAAGCAAAAAAAAATCAGTTGTGAATTAATTATTTAATTATGGAAGCGAGCGGAGGGGGAGAGGAGAGGAGAGGAGCTAAGTGAACTGTTGACACGTCCCCATAACAAAGGGAAACTTGTTGATAAAAGCGAAACTGCGACCAAAACACGGAAATGCCGACAAAAAAAAAGAATTAATAAATAGCAAAAGAATTGTATGGAAAACTGGCGCAGGCGCCGCCCAATCCTGGAACTGGGCGGCCACGACGACGACGACGAGTGGGAGGGGCGTGGAAGGGGCGTGGCAGGGGCACATTCATTCAATATTGAAAGCGAGCGCGAAGCCAAACAATTCTCGGCTCGACTCGCATCAGTCGCAACTCGAGTCGCGGGCCGTTCGCATGTCCGAGCTCCAGCTCCAAGTGCTCCGCTCCAGAAGTTCCCTATTGGAATCCAGCTGTGGTCATGGGTCTGCTTGAGATGCTGCGTCGGTTGGGTCGTCCCCCCGCCGGCGGCGGCGTCGGCTGCAACATCGAGCTGCAGCGTCGCGTGCCCTGCAAATCGAATCAATTGGACGTTCAGCCCGAGTCTGGGCAGGCTGCGGCGGGATGCGGGGGCAGGACACAGTCGCAGGTCACGGAGCAGTCGCTGCAGGTGTGGCGCGCGCTGCCCGCTGAGATTCGACATGATCCCAGCATGGCCAGCTTTCAAATGGAGAACGAACGCATTTACGGTAAGTCGAGCATAGCCGCCTCTGCTTACAGTTACAGGGTATATACATAGATGAGCACTTGCCTAGTCCAAAGATGAGCTCCGTTTGATCTCCTCTGGCTCTGGGAGCATCTTCAAGATGCACCTCTTAAATATGTTGCAATCGGGTGCAACCGACTGCACAATACTCTGTACGTAGAACCTTCTACTTGTCTACTTGGCGACCTAGCATAGTCTGAAAGGGAAATTTGTTGACTCTAGCCATAAAAGTGTGCAAGACATAACTTTTACCGCTTTGGGCGTGGCTAAAGCATCATAAAACTAGCACATAAGCCATATTGCAAGTCCCTAGACTCAAGACGGATATGCCTATCGATGAATCCATTAAATACCTCATTTTGCTAGAGGGAAATGAGTAAAAAAAACGGAGCCTATCGAAATCTCACCCTCAATCCAAATCGATACCAAACAAAATCAATATCGATAAAACTCATTATCGAATAAAGTCAAAATCTATGGAAATCTACATCGTTCAACTGCTTTTTAGGCGTATCTCTCCTTTTTTAATCGATTAAAATCGAAAGCTATAAAGTCGATATTGAATTAAGTCGTTATCGATAAAAGGTAATTTCGATCAAAATCAACATCGATCAACTGTTTTTTAGCGTAGCTCTAATTTCTTGAATCGATGACTGTGCTATCGATAATTTGCTACGTTCTTATAAAATCGAGGGAAATCTATAACGATACAAATCGATAGCTATAAAGTTGATATTGATATAAGTCGTTATCGATTATATCTCATCTCTCTCAAATAAAAAACGATAAAGTTAGTATTAATAAAAGTCGTTATCGATAAAATTTAATTTCGATAAAAATATATTTCGATCAACTGCTTTTTGAGCACATCTCGGAGCTAACGAAAGCTCAATATGGCAAGTTAAATATGTGGGCTCTGGTTAGGCATACAAAGATCCACAATAGTTCGCTTTTTTAGAAACTTTACTCAGTTACCCCCATAATACAAATAGTTGCTGGTATAGTCTCGGTCTTTGGTATGTGCACACAATATGCTGTCATATTAATGCCGTGAAAAATTCATCAAGGCATGACAATAAACGGCCAAGTTATTCGGGAAGACATTTCGCATTGTATGAGACTGCGGCAAGCAAAAGCAGCTGAAGGCGAGAGGGCTTGTGTTTGTGTGTGTGTGTGTGTGTGTGTGTGTATAGTATGTAGAAAAGAAGAAGAATGTTTGCTGGAAAGTGTATAACGAAGGTTAGGAGCTGGGTGCAGGGTATCTACCAGTCGGACACTCAAGTCCAGAGCACATTTATTACTTCTAAAAACGATTCTAGTTGGGCGCAGGGTATCTTCTAGTCGGACAAATATAAGGGTATCTACCAGTCGGACACTCAAGTCCAGAGCACATTTAGCTTACAAATTATGTCTAAGAACTATTCTAGCTGGGTGCAGGGTATCTTCTAGTCGTGCAATCATGACTATCGCACTTCCAACCTACAAATTCTTCCCAAGAAAGATTCTAGCTAGGTTTGGAATTTCTACCTCATATATAATCCTATCTCATGATTAACTTTACATATTTAAAAAGATTGTTCGACTTTGTTTCACAAGAAAAAATCATATTATAAATATATTTCATAAATATTATTTCAAAGTTATCGATAACTTTTCCCAACTCATCCCAAATCTCGATTATTATTTCTTCTTCTGAATTTTCTCAACAATAAAAACGAATCTTGCTTGTTATTATAATTTCTTTGCTTGAGCTGAAAAGCAGGCAACACATTTGTCTTTCGGTCTAATCGAATATTAAACGCTGTCAAATCGATAAATTGACAAGCGATGACAAGCGCCTGACACGCAGTTGACCCCCGTCAAGTGGCAAATAAAATGAATAGCTCATGCATTATTTATATACCCAGGTTCCATGGTCGGGGACAGCGATGCGGAGGAGGCGTACGTGGACGCGGACCTGGACGCCGAGGAGGAGGATCCGTCGAGTCACCTCCAGCAGCAGCAGCACCAGCAGCTGGATGGGCGCACCGCCAGCTATGCGGGCTCCGATTATCTGGACATCAAGCTGAGAAACGGCTGCGAGGCGGACAAGAGCACGGACGACGAGGTGACCACCACTCACTCTGACCACGAGCAGCCGCACGCAAATGGACCCGGCAATGCCAAAACTCTGGCTCGGCGCCTGCATCACAAGTCGAAGCGCTCCAAGGAGCAGCTGCAGCGCGACAAGCTCTGGAAGCGCTGCGGCCTGCTCATCTGTTGGCTATTCGCTGCCGCAGTCCTGATCAGCGTCGGCGAGAAGCAGCTGCTCGAGAAGATTGTCCAGGTGCCGCAGGGCGAGTCGGGCAAATGTAGGTAGGAGATGCTCCTCCAGTTGGATGCTTAACCCAATCCCCTCTCAGTTTTCCAGCTGCAGCAGAAGCCCATGGGCGACTTTCGGCTGAAGCTCCACGGCGCCTTCGAGTCATCGAGGAGTCACTTGCTCGGCCAGGAGCAGAACGAGACGGAGCAGAGTCAAGCTCATTTATTTGTGCAGCCGCAGCTCAGTCGCAATCAGAGCAAGGAGTTTCAGGTAAGTCACCCAAAAAGCTGGCCAAGACCTGCCTCTACTTTCTCCACCTCCTCCCCAGGACATTCTGGCGCCCTGGCAGCTGGAATTGGTGCCTGAGGAGCAGCTGCTCCATGCGCCCGCCGTGCCACGCAATCACACCTTCCAGCTGACCGCGGAGCTGTTGGAGCTGCTCGCCCACCCCGCCAGCCAGATGCGTCTGCACATCTTTAGCGATGCCCGGCAGGAGTTGGCCCTGGAGCTCAGCTACAATCCGTTGATTGTGAATAATCGCACGGGCAGCATTCTGGCGGGGATTATCCTGCTGCTCTTTTATGGGCTGCTCGTCTGGGAGCAGCTGGATCGTCCGTTTGCTGCGATGATATGCGCCGTGCTCTCGGTCACCGCATTGGCCGTCTTTCAGGATCGCCCCAACATGGAGGAGATCAAACAGTGGATGGACATGGAGCTGCTTACGCTCGTTTTTTGCATGATGCTCCTCATCCTTATCCTGACCGAGACGGGCGTCTTTGATTATCTCGCAGTTGTTTGCTTTGAGATATCCGGCGGCAAGATCTGGCCCATGATCTACAGCCTCTGCCTGGTCACCTGCCTGGTGTCCAGTGTCCTAGACAACATGACCACCGTGCTCCTTCTCACGCCCGTCGCCATTCGTTTGTGTGAGGTCATGCAGCTGGATCCTCTGCCCGTCGTCATGGGCATCATTGTCCATGCCAATATCGGCGGCGCTCTCACCCCCATTGGAGATCCCATCAGCATTATCGTCGGCACAAATCACTTTATCGTCGAGAATGTGAGTGAAAACTTATCGTTTTTTATGCCTCCGATATGGGCCCCGATATATATCCGTCTGTCTGTCCGTCTATCTGTCCGTCTATGGAGGTCTAAAACTATAAATATATATTCTCTAGTACCCAACGCACATCTAGTTTATAATTTACTTCGATATCTTCTCTCATTTTCGTAATATCGATAAATATCGATTTCGAGACAAGATCTTTTGAGCATAACTCGAGAAATATGGTTGCCAAATACATCACATTTGGTATGCAGATTATTGTATGTAATATAAAAAAAAAAATAGTTCACTTTATTGATAACTCCCACCGTTCGTCCAAGAATTGGTAAAAGATAATTCTTAAAGATAAAGCCTTTGGACCTTGGTATATGCACACTTTTGTAAGCCCAGAAAATTTCAGAAAAACAACTTAGTTAATCAAGAATGGATATCTCATGGATATCTTATCGATATCATATCGATAAATATCGATTTTGAGTCTAGGTTTTCTAAGCATAACTCGATAATTATAAGACCTATATAAAACAAATTTTGTATGTAGATTTTCGTAAGGTATATACAAATAAGAAAAGAATTCATTTCTTTGATACCTCTCACAATTCGTCCAAGAATTGGACACTATTAAAGATAGAGCCTTGGGTCTTGGTATATACACACTTTTGTGAGCCACATTTAAGCTCAGAAAATTTCATAATAATCGGACTATAAGCACCGAAGTTAACTCAGAATGCATTAGCCATATATTAAGAGTCTTGCAGTTAATCAAGAATGAATATCTCATGGATAATAAGGGGCGCAGGAAAGAAGAAGCACAATCTCTGCATAAAGGACTCGGTTTATATTGCTAATAATATATAAAAGAAATTTTTAAGAATTTTCAAGAACTTCCTTCAGAACTCTCTCATTCGTTTCTGCATTCGCATCCATTTAATCCCATAAATGCCACTTTAATCTCTTTATATATCAAATTCTCCATTCGCAGGGCGTCAATTTCCTGACCTTTGTGGCCCACATGCTGCCCGGCGTGCTGCTGGCGGTGCTGCAGAGCTGCGCTTATTTGCGTCTCTATTATCGCAACATTGACGAGCTGCGTCTGAATGAGCCCAAGGAGCTGGGCGAGCTGCGGCGCGAGATCAGGGTGTGGCAGCGTGCACTGAACGCGATCGCCGTCTGCTCCAAGGACGCTCAGCTAGTGCGCGGCACGCTCCACGGCAAGGTGAAGCAGCTGAAGCGGACGCTGAGGCGCAAACAACGCGGCGTCGGCTCCACAGAGATCTATGCGAGCACGCTGGATGAGCTCAAACAGAAGGTATAACAAAATATGTGTTGACAACAAAAAATATACCAATCAAAAATTGATATAAAGCCTTGACAATAAATCGTATGCCAATCGGTCGAAAATATTATTTTCCACCCAGTTAGGTGAATTTATCGAAAAGTGTGAATTTACACAAAGATCTTTTGAATTAAGTTTAAAGGCAACCAGGTAAAAACCTTCAAAATAAACCATTAACTGCTTTCCACTACTTTCCCACTCCTGCGAGTGGAATTTGCCCAATTAAGTTTAAAATCAATGGAATTAAAATTAACAAAAAATGGATGCAACTATTTCCTCCTTATTTTCCACTTGTGGAGGTGGAATTCTCTCAATTACATTAAAATCCATCGAGTGAAAATTGAAAAAATATGCCAAAAACTGTTTTCCACTTGTTTTTCACGTCTTAGGAGTGGAATTTTGCTATTCAAGTTAGTCAATTGGGTAAAAATATTAAAAATATGCAAATAATTTTATCACTTATTTTCCGCTCATACGGGTGGAATTTTTCCAATTTAGCTAAAATCAATTGAATCGAAAATATGCAAAAAACTGTTCTCCACTTATTTTGCACTTTTGGGGTTGGAATTTCTCTATTTCATTATTATCAATCGAGTACAAATTTAAAACAAATATTCAAAAAACTGTTTTCCACTTATTTTCCACTCTTGCGGGTGAAATTTTGCCCATCAGAAAGTTTAGTTAAATCACATCAGGCTCACACTGAGGAAAACTCAGCTGCCTAGCTCTATTTGAACTGTACACGGATTATTATTCAAACAATTAATCAATCAATCAATCAATCAATCAGTGCCCTATTTAATATATTGAATATTTACAGTACCCGATCAAGAATAAGAAGCTGCTGCTGCAATCGACTGGCGCCTTGCTCTTTGTCATCGTTTGTTTTCTGGTGCAGTCGGTGCCCCATTGGCGAACCCTGCCCCTGGGCTGGGTGGCCCTGCTGGGCGTGATCCTGCTGCTGATTGTGCTCGACCGCGATGATATGGAGCATCTGATACATCGCATCGAGTGGACGACGCTGTTGTTCTTTGGCGCCATGTTCGTGATGATGGAGTGCGTGGAGCGTCTCGGGCTGCTCGTCAGCATTGCCGAGCTGACGGAGCACGTCATCCTGGCCGTGCAGCCGGGCCACAGACTGGCCGTGGCCATTTCGATGATACTGTGGATAACGGCGCTGGCCTCCTCCGTGCTGGACAGCATTCCGGTTGCCGCGATGATGGTCAAGCTGGTCACCTCGCTGGTGGCCAAGTCATCCCTCGGCCTACCCCTGCAGCCGCTCGTCTGGGCCCTAACGCTGGGCGCCTCCCTCGGCGGCAATGGCACCCTCTACGGCGCCTCCGCGAACGTCATCGCGGCTGGCATCGCCGAACAGCACGGCTACAAATTGTCCTTTACGCGTTATCTGAAGACCGTGCTGCCCATGATGCTGGCTCAGATCGCACTCATGACCATCTACCTGCTGCTGGCCCACGTTCTCTTCAGCTGGCATTAAATAAATACAATCTATTCAAGATTTATAACTATCTCAAAACTATAAAGTTCTGGATTTCTTTTTACTATCTTTAAGATATTAACTATTCGATTGCATAAAATCAATTAAATTTAAGTCTTTGCTTGGATTTGTAATCTCGCAATGTCTTATTCGTATACTCTATTTAGAGAATATTCACAAACCAAAGTGTTTCAGTTTGAAAATAAAGTATTTTATTATTAAGCAAAACTTGTAAAGACTTTGGATTTAAAAGCTGTCAGTCTTTCTTTGCCAAGTCCAATTGTTGTCATCAAATTTTGGTTTCCACCCATTTTCCACCTTAGCCGATATCACTTTCACCCAGAGAGGTGGATTTCACATCATAGGTGAAACGCAACTCACAAACTACTTGACATAAATCTTAAAATGAGAGTGTGTAAAAATATGAAAGTCATATACAAGCGTACATAGTTTGGGCTGTGCGCCATTCATCAATCAGCACATCAATCAATCAGGTCAATCAGGTGTAATAATATTTATAACAAATGGTCGTAGGTCAATTTGGAAATTAACTAAGAGTTACGTTAAATGATAATTACTCATTTGAGGCATCCATTTGTTGGCAGTTGCAACGAAAAACAGCAAAAAGTAGGAAATACTTAGCTTGAAACTCGAATTTGGGAATTACAATGAAAAGACGCCAACCTAAATAAATATTTTATGCAAAAATAAAACCTGTTAGGAATTATAACGAAACGAAGCAGAGCCGAGACAAGACTTTAATGAAATTTTAAAGAGCCTCTAGATTTCTGGTCCTTATTCTTGTTACTTATTATATCTCGATATAAATATTTAACATTTTTCGACCGACCTAAAAATTATTATTTTTTTTTTATACAAAGCTGAAACTTGTTGAGAACTACAACGAAAAAACGGCAAAACTGAGACAACAATTTAAATGTAATATTTTAAAAAGCCTTCGACTCCTAAGCTACCAAATAATAAAAGTTTATTATTTGTATACAAAGCCTAAACTAGTTGGGAATTAGAACGAAAAATGGCAAATAGTTGAAAAATTAAACTTGTTGGGAATTTCAACGAAGAGAAGCAAATCGGAGGCAAGAATCAATGTATATTTTAAAAGCCTTTTTCTGTCTCCTTATAATTTATGAACATATTTTGACCGACCTAAAGCTAAAACCTGTTGGGAATTAGAACGAGAAAACGGCAAAGCTCCGACAACAATTAAAATATAATTATTTAAACAGCCTTTGTCTTGATTATTACGCACAATGCGACCGTGACGGAGCACTTGCATAAGACTGTCAAGCTATGCGCCATGTGCTTGAACTTGTTGGCAATTTGTTAGGTCTGGGAAATGGAAAATGGGAAATGGGAAAACGAATCAATTCGGCTGTCAAGTGAAAGCAAATAGCGCCCCAGAGCAGGGAGATTAACATGGCAGGTGCCAAGAGAATTGCCACAGCGGGAAAAGGAACTGGCAAAATGAAAGAACGCAAAGAAAAGCTTGTTTCGCTTTGTCTGCACTTGTTCCGCCGTTTCCACGCTTTCCCACGCACAACATTTTCCCAAAAAAGAAAAAAAAACAAAAATGTCACATTCAGGCTTTTGCACTCGAAATCAATTTTCAGTGGACGCAAAACAGAGCTCGGCCGCGGTTTAATGCCAGCCAAAAGGCAAACCCAGCGCCAAATGGCCAACGAATTGTAATTCATTTTTACTCTGGCAAAGAAAATTCGGAAAATTTAAAAAAAAAAGTGTGGAAAATGCCGGACAAACAAAGCGCGGCAAATGCTGCCCAGTGAGTATTTCGCGAATCAAAGATAAACAAAAAGTGAAAATGTCCAGCCCGACCTACGCCTACTCGAGGCCCACATTTATGATAACCGACCACACGCATGATCCCTACCAGCTGGAGGAGATGGCGGCGGCGGCCAACCAGGACGAGGAGGAGGAGGCGGATCGCAACTCCAAGCTGCGGGAGCTGACGCGTTGGCTGCATTTCCATGCCCGACATCGTCGCAGTCGGTAAGTTTTGAATGGGCCTCTGATTAAATTACGTATACGCCCCCCGCCTGCGCTCGATTTTATTTGTCTTCCGGGCAAAGTTTTTCAATTAAATATAGGCCAAGCATTTAATTGGCCCTAATGGCATTGCCCCCGCCTCCCAAAAAACTGTTGATTCGGCATCAGGACCTTTTTTTGGCCATTCAATTTCTTTACTTGTTTTTATCTTCTTGGAAATTATTCTCTACTCTAACAAAATTCAAGGCAAAGCTTCTGTGTTAATTTATTATTATTGATATTATCAACCGCAAAGAAATAGATCAATAATAATAAATCAAAATAAATAAGGATAATAATAAAAAATGGGAAGTTGAGGGTTCAAGCGCCCGTAGTCAAATTTAGAACATTTTTATTCTTCTTGGTAAATATTTTCTACTGCAACAATATTTAAGATAATATTTCTGTGTTCATTTATTATTTGTTATACTATTATCCAGAAGAAAATAAATCAAAATAAATAGGAAAAATCCTAATAATAAGAAATAGGGAGTTCAGGGATCGCGCTTGTGTTAATTTAGAAAATTTTTAATTAAAATTATAAAATATTTCCTCTTTTTTTATAAGCCCAAACAGAACGCATAAAGCCGACTGCTGCCGGGTAATTTCTGCTAGTGCACAATATTAAAATACAACTTAAAATTAAAAAAAGTAGCAGCCCAATTGATATTAATTTTATGGGATTTTAAGCACTTTTTTCGTAACTTCGGTGAAAACATATTTTGGCGAATGGTTTTTTTTTCGTTTCGAGCTGGAAGTACTTTTGCAATTGCGAAACGTGCTTAGCATCAAAAGGCGTTGAATTATTGAAGCTGAGATTTGTATTTAGTGGGGCCTCGCCCGACGACACATGTATCGCGAAATCGTGCGCTTTCTGGCTGGCAACAATTAACGGCGCTATAAATAATGCTCGTATTCATAAATATGGGCGGGCAGGCAAATTAAACGCCAGCTCGAGGGCCATTTAAATGCCAATTTAGGCATTAGAGTGCGTTAGAGCTTTGCAGCCAGAGTCCGATCTAAATTAAAAGTTCCGCTTAGTTCAGCAACTTAACCGCAAAACTAACAATTCAATCTAATTGAATAATATAGCTACGCAGTATTTAATCTGGATCTTGAGGAAGAGACGCAATATTCTACCTCGAAACTTATATAATGCCATTAAGAAATATTTCCTGTTTTTTTTTTTAGTTGAGTCGAAACACGCAAATACGAAATATACCAAGAAAATACCAGCTGAAATACTAACAAAAATACTAATGGAACTACTAACGAAAGTACTAACTAAAATACTAAAAAAAAAAACAGGTAAAAATATTAACGAAAGTACCAACTAAAATACTGAGAAAAATACCAGCTAAAAACTAACAAAAATACTAGTGAAAGCCATTTTCATGATATTTTGAACGAATTTACTTACCGTTTTCCTGTCGCATGATCTGAAACTTTGAACTTTGCGCTTACAAGCCCCAATTTCCACGCAGTGCGGTGAATTTTACCGAAATGTGTGAAACCAGTCTCCAATGAGTTTTGGCTAAGAATCGAAAAAAAACACAACAAATTTTAAGTCAAATGTTGTCCAACAACTACGTTAGTAGTTATTAAGAACTAACTAAAATACTAAGTGAAATACTAGCAAAAATACTAACGATTGTACTAACTAAAATACTAGTACTACTCTAGTATTTCTCATGATATTTTAAACCAATTCAGTTTCCATTTCCGGTCGTATGATAAATACAAATAAACTTTGCCCTTGCAAGCCCATTTTTCACAATCTATCGAAAGTGCAAAAGTGCTTAAATCCATATTTTCCACACAGATGGGGTGAATTTTTCGAAAAGGGTGAAACAAGTCTCCGAAGAGTTTGGGCTAACAATCAAAGGAAACATATCATTCAACTGTAAACTAAAGTACTAACTAAAATACTAACTATAATACTAACTTAAATACCAACTAACATACCTACTATAATACTTGTACTACTCCATATTTTTCAGAACATTTTATACAAAATTTTCACCCATTTTCCGGTTGTAAGATGAGAAGCACAAAAGAAACTTTGCTCCTACAAACTTTAAGACCAATTTTCCACAATTTATCGAAGAGTGCAAAATGCGAACCCAATAAATATTGGCTAAGAATCCAATGAAAATCACAGAATTGTTATTTAGCTGCTTTCCACAAATTTTTCACTTTTTAAAGATGCAATTTTCCAGCACTCCATCTTACTTTTCAATAGCATCGCAAAAGGAAAATTATGTGAAAAATGTTGTGAAAATTTAACTTTCTAGCTCTTATAGCTTAAACTTTGCGATAATTATCAATCAGTCAGTCAGTCAATCAATCAGTCAGTCTGTTAATCAGTCTTTCAGCCAGTCAATCAATCAGTCAATCTATCAGTCCGTCAGTCAATCGGGTTAAACAGCTGTTAGGCACTCATGACTGTCAATGGTAAGAAAAAACCTTGACTAAGGCGCGCTTCACAAATTCTGTTACAACAAAGTTTATTGATTTTGATAAAATTAATATTTTCTCATAAATAATAAATGAAGTATTGCTTCTTCCTTTTGAGGCATTTTGAATGTCATTACTTTTAATCGAGGGCCAGCAGGGTTTTTATGCCCACTGAAAATGGGAGGAAAGGGAAAGGAGTATAATGGTCTAAGGTTTAGGTATGTAACAGGCAGAAGGAGGATTCTCCGACCAAAAGGTAAATATTCCCGAAGAGCACCAAGAGCCAAGAAGATGTAGCCATGTCCATCAGTTGGCATCAATCTCAGAGACCAGAAGATATTTAAGACTGGAATATTTGAACCTATTCCTTTCCTCCTAAAATTGTCGCTAACTCGCCCGTTTCCCTGAAATCGATTTAAATCGATATCGATATTCTGTTCTTTTGAACATATCTCGAGGATTATAAGAGTTCGAGACACCAAATGTGGTATGTAGACTCTCCTGTACCAAACATATCTCCAATATATTTCACTTTTTGAAAGCCTTCCCCCGTTTCCCCATCAAGTAGAATAAAAAGAACTTGTGTGGCGATTGTCTTGGGCTTTGGTATGTATTTGTATTTGGGGCCCATAAGAACGCCCTGAAAATTTCATAAAAATCGCTCCGTAAATACTGAAGTTAACCAAAAACGCATTTCCCAAAAAAAG